ATAAAATTGATTAAAGCAGAAGGTTTGTGTGTGATTCTTCCTGAAATTCTGCATAATATTGTTCTGCGTATGAGATCTGAATCCTGGGGACCTATCATAAGCACACTATCACCACATAATCCATAACACACATAATCCGTAATGTTCAATCGAGAGTAATCGTATCCTTATCGATAATACGGAATTAAAGAGCAGAGTCGAATCGTCTCTCTCTCATTCACGCTCACAACGCCTGCGTCACTGCATACGATTAATTGCGTTATTCCAATTCATAACACAATCCTCGTCACCGAGGCTCGACCTGATAATCCATAACGACCTGCATTATCATAACCACGCCCACTCGCATAAATTAATAAGATTATCTCTCGAATCAGCATAATTTATGCACATAATTACACTAATTAACATAATTTCGGATAAATTCTGCAAATCTCTAATTTCATTTAATTTTCATTATTTTCATCAATTTTCATAACACCTATATATACAACATATTGGGCGCGTCGTCCGGGATCTCTCGCAGACAGTTTATGCTTGAATTAAGGAACAAATCACTGTTGTATTAACCAAGGTTTTATGATCTAACGTTACCCTGTGACTGTAACGGGTGTAAAGCAAACAAAAAAACGCACTCTGAAGGGAAATTCCAGAGTAGCAGGGTATAACAAAGACAATTGAAGTAAGATTATTTGCTCGAGTCAAACTGACCACATCCTGTGATACAAGTGTTTTTATACGTGCTCTGAAGGGAATACCAGAGTCACATGAGTCGAACTGATGCATTCTGGATACAACTGTTTTGATATGCACTCTGAAGTGAAATTCCAGAGATGCTCGTATTAAGAGTAATTTTTGAGTGGATTGCGGGATATTGGGAACTTGTACCAAAAAGGTCAGGCCAATCTGCTACAGAGCAAACAAATCAGGGAGACACATGGAAGGTGAGCTGTATTGATGACATTGGGACACTGCTTAAGAACTGGATAAAATGGGAGAAAAGCGAACACGATGTAAAAACATCAGGAATAGCTACGCTGAACTCAGACCCTCTCGCACAGACAGACAAACAGAGATTATGGGATGAGGAAAATTTCGGAAAAGAAACAGGTGGGACTGATAACCCCGAAGTCAGAGTGAGACAGAATATTAAAACTAAATCACCAGGAGATTATGTACTAATAACGCGAGAAAGGGCGGAGCCGAAGCTCCGAGGCAACTCTCCAGGAAAACGCACACCACGCACAGACGGCCGACACAAACATCGCGACAGGCACGACGCACCAGACAAATATAAATCAAACACCCCACAAAAACCACATAAGTATGAGCCATGGGACAAACATGAGTCACCGAGCAAAGTTGACCCACGTTACAGGCGCAAAATACACTACAAAAATCATGTTAAGCAACGCCACCGTGATGTTAATGACTCATCCGAATCTGACTCGGATGACGATGATCAACTTTCCGAATACTCGTTCAGTAGTAACACTCTGAGATTGATGGACAAAGCTCTCGTCCGAATTCCCTATTTTGATCCACACAATAAGAACAGGGACATTCACACTCACATCGTAACGGTAGAAGCAGAAGCAATGATCAGGGGTCTGAGGAAAACGGATGAAAAAGCGAGTTTGCTGAAACGCAGCTTGCATGGACAGTCCATATCATGGGTAAAGTCGCTACCATACGAGGTTCGGAACGATTTTAAAAAGCTGAGCCTGGCAGTGATTCGGAAGTTTGGAGAATATCTAACACTGTCTGAGGGATTTAACGCTGCAAAATCTATGACCCAGTGTGCAGACGAGGATCCTCGGGATTACCTCATGCGATTTAAAAGAGCGTACTACGCAGGCGATGTGGATCAGTATCACGAAGGTGACAAAAGGTTCAAAATTATGTTTTTTGGATCTTTGAGTCCAGAGATTACAGAAATTGTGGGAATGGTCTTGAGTCCAGAGACAGCCTCCTTGGACCACATAGTGGATCGGGCACACATGGCTTGGCAGTACCGGACTAAAAACAATGATTCCACAGCACACAGAGAATGGGGCAAGGTAACCAGCCTATCAGAGGAAAAGAAAAAACATGTGAGGCATTTGATGCACGCAGGCCCACAGTGCAGAAAACAAAAAGCACCCACGGATTACCAACATAATTACATACACGGGTGGTCAGATAACAATTACACGAGACAATGGCACGCAGACCGGGAGCGATCGCAGCGTGCAGGGACGCGTATTTGCGACAATCGCAACGTGTGGAGACCACGAGCAAAGTCGGACCAGTGCCCAATTCCACGGCACACAGAGCAGGAGCGATCGCAGCATGTAGGGACGCGTATTTGCGAGAATCGCAACGCGTGGAAACCACGAGCAAAGTCAGACCAGTGCTCAATTCCACGGCACACAGACCGAGAGCGTTCGCAGCGTGCAGAGACGCGTATTTGCGACAATCGCCACGGGTGGAAGCAAAGAGCAGGACCATATCTTCACCCAATGCAGCGGCACACAGCCGGCCAAAATTACCCACACAGATGGCGAGATAACAATTACGGTCGACAGTGGCACATAGAGAATGGGCGGCCACGACACACAAAGACACATAATCGCGAGAATCACGGCGTGTATAGGCCAAGAGCAGAATCACGCCGATTCCCCATTCCACGATACACAAGGGGCACACATGGCTTGGCTGTAACAAAGAGGGTGACATGGGCACGTGATAAATCGCTCACACTGGTTGAGAGGAAAATGACAGGGAAAGAGGTGTCCGCTGATCTGAAAAAAAAATCACAGCCCTTGGAAAAAATCAAGCAGGCTGGAGGTTACAAACAGAACCAAGAGGGGAACCATGATTGTGGAAAACTAAATGCGCCATGCACACGCTTTGATGTGGTGGGGAACGCGAGAGTCGCTCCCGTGGTGAACACACCTATTGAACAAGGAAAATTAACCATGAAGCGTGATCTAACAGGAAATGATAACCAACAGGATCGGGAGGAGAAACATGCTTGTTTGGTAAATGGAAACGCGATCAATTGTGTCGCAAAATTGCGTGAGAGTACAGTAGAAGTGCCAGGGAAACGCGTTACGGAGACAAAAATCCATGATGGATTGGGGAATGTGTGGAAATCCAGCACACGCAAAAACATGGAATCGAATCGAGGCACGGAATCGGATCGTGGTACGGAGTCAGCAAATCTGCACATGGCTGCGGAGAAGGCAAATGACCCCAACAGTCGAGCACGAAAACTCGTGTTGTGTACTAATCCTGGTGGCGCTCGACATGGCTTCACGCCACATAAACCCACAGGGAAGGCGAGGGATAAAAAAAATTACCGATACGAACCAAGGAACCGTGCTCATTTGGCTAAAGCCATACCGACGATGAACCAAAACGACGATGTGATGATGTTGCATGGAAAGGTCACAGGTTACTCGAAAATACCTGGTCATGAGAAAAATTATTCTGTACTTTTGACCAAATGTGGCAGTAAGGTTGCCAATAACTTGGTAAACATTAAACAAAGAGATGCCAGGAGGGAAACGGTGTACCACCGGGCTCGAAACCGCTATCCAGTGTTTCCCAGGAACTGAAACAAAAATCAAAGCAATAATTGATAAGACCCGATGTAACATGTTGCCTTAATTTCTCTTTTTCCTGTTCTTTTATTTTCTTATTTCAAATGTAATCATGCTAAGTTGTGACATGTACGCGCGCGTTGTAAGGAAAAATCACAAACTTGAAGACAATCGATAGTTCATGGTGGAAAAAGGCATTTTTCTTTAATATTAAAAATAACCGGTGGCAGACCACCGATCATTTTTAAAAGGGCGGAATGTTGTATACGGCCCTTTTTCCACAATTAATATCCATAAGAATATTTACGGATGCATACACCTAGATTTCTTTTTCCTTTCTTTCGTGACAAACAATATATATTTTTTTAATAATGAATCAAACCCGTAAGCCAGAAACACGAAAAACCAGATGTCGGTCATAAACAGACCATTAAGAAATAAAGAAATAATAAAACTCTCGAGGCGAGGATGTAACAGCTATCGGCGAAAATCTCCAGATGAACAAGAGTTTGATGGGCCCCTTAGGAAAGGTCCCTCCGAGGTCAGAACACCAAGAGAGCAGACACCAGACGCCAACAGGGTAAATCGTATACATATTCTTTTCCTTATTTTCCAGTAAAACAACAACAAAAAAATTAAAAGGCAACAACAAGAATAAGATAAAAGTAGCGAGCCTAACGCTCACTCCAATTAAGAACAGGCCACCAGACACATCAGTGAATTATTATCCAATGATTAATTCGCTATCAAATGATTTTCACCTTTAATACCTTTACTGTTAAAACAAAGCTTGGAGCAAGAATACCGAGTCACATCAAAGGTTATCGAGAAGGAATGAGACAACGAGCAAACTTGCGAAAGAGTTTAAACAATATTCCAAGCAACCCCGACCACATTTGTCTCTCTCACAGCGCGGAGAAGCAGGAATTACACCTTATCACAAGGGGCCATCTGGAAAAGCCAGCCGGGTTTGATGAGGAGACACACCCCACCCCACACACGGCAACCAGACAAACAAGTTTTAAAGAAATTGCAAAATAACATTAATAATAATGTGTTAACCTTAAACGATATTCCATTATAGAACCTTACAGAACCAAGGGATATGGACTCCAACAATCTGGAAACGGACCTCTTAAACTCAGGATGAAAATTATTTTTCTTTTTAATAATTCCATCATAACAATTCGAACCTCGGTAAACCGAGAGGTGTCGGGAGGACGTAGTTACAAACACGAGTCGTGGCGAACATGGAGTCGAAATGATATTTGCAAAGTATAGAGAGATGGGAAGATCCCGGCCACCTTTGTCTTTCCCTGCAGCACGTGATAAAATGCATACGCTCGGAAGAGCATCTTCACTTGGAAATAAATCAAATACTATGAATCACAAGCAGGATCATAACTGTGTATGATAAGATACCAACTGTGATGTGAAATGTTAAACTTAAAAAAAATCTTAACCATTTCTTTGTGCGTCGGAACGCGTACGGAAAAGGGGGGGGGGGAACCCGCCCCTCTCTCTGGGTGGAGGGATTAGACAACCAGACGCCACCAAGATGAATCGAGGTGTCTGTTGTCTTGATGTTTATGGCTTGAGGAAAGACCCGAACAGGACCGTGTCATAAATGACACACACACAAACATACACACTGACACACGAACCCCCCCCACCACCGACACACGAACCCCCCCCCACCGACATACGATCAGATCAAAGATAGCTCCACCTCGTGAGGGGGAGCCGAGAAGGGGAGAGATTTTTGGCATAAAAAGGAGCCGTTTCAGCATTGCTCAGCTCGTCAGCCCTCGGGGCCAACTCATCAGCCCTCGGGGGCAGCTCAACAGAAGAAGACTCATCTCAACTCAGCTCAACAGAAGAAGACTCATCTCAACTCAGCTCAACAGAAGAAGACTCATCTCAACTCAACTCAGCAGAAGAAAAACTTGACCTGTCGCTCGCGAGCGCAGCGTCAGCTACTACAGCAGCGGAAAGAGCGCGCGCCGGCGTAGCTCATCCAGCAGTGGAGGAAACTGCTGTCAGCGAATCAGCACGGGCGCGTTCGCGCATCTTCAAGGAGAAAGAGCGCGGCCAGCAACGCCAAGCAAGAGCGTGCAGCAGCTCAGCCAGCAGTGGAGAGAAACTGCTATCAGCGAACCAGCACGGGCGCGTTCGCGCATCTTCAAGGAGAGGGAGCGCGCGCCACCAGCGTGCCATCAGCACCAGCATCAGCACCAGCGCGTGCCAACAGCGCGCCACCAGCGTGCCACCAGCACCAGCACCAGCGCCACCACGAGCGAATCGTGAGCCTGCAATCTACAACCGCCGACGACGGAGCACCAGCGCGCCGCTGCGGGCGTGCTTCTAACGCCGTCTACCAGACGGTCATCTCAGCTACAACAACGCATCTACTCGTTCACCAACGTCCGTCGAGTCCGAACCAACTACTGAAAGAAGAATCAACTGATACGTATGATACACTGCCCCCCACTACACACAAACCAGACGTCTGCTTGACGCAAAGAATCGATTCTGAACATTGGCCTACTCTTACACCACTCACACCATTCAACACACACACACGGGTCATTAACAAAGCCTAAAAACCTCAAGCCATTGAACCATCCGTGATTGTGGAAACATCGCAACGACCGAGTGAATAATCCATCGTTTTTAAGAGTGTTCATAATTTTTCTCTGTAATATTGTGCTGGGGCTGTACTTCTAACCGCATAAATTACCAACTGACCCATTAACAAGGATTAATTCTTGGCTCCTCACCACGGAGCGCCGCTCGCGGGGATAGAGAGCTTGTTCAACCGGTTCCCTGTCAGGGGTCTGGCCACAATCAATTAAAAGATTGGCCCGAGATAAGGATCTCAAAAGGAAACATCGCCACCCATTGAGTCGCGTTGAGAAGTTGATTAGGAATACTTGAGTCGTTCGTTAATATTTATCTTTCTGCATAACCTTGCCGGTATCCACGAATGAAATAACGAATTCAAACGCATATTTGTGCCTCCAAGAATAATACTGGTTGGAGTGCCCTGTCAACGAGTAGCATTGCATAATAATCAGTCATCCTATTGTTAACAACGTGACAATAATTGCATTAAGGGCCGCGCATGATCAGTGACCGAATGCTGTTTTGTGTGACAATTCAAGTAACGAAGCATTGTGGCCATCGAGTGGTGTTGATAAGGCAATTAGAAGTATTACAGTCGAACGCTTTAAATTCATAATCGTTATGAATCAATGAACGAACATCAACGTGGTACTGTGCTGACGATTTCAAGCGTAATAACTTCGCATATCAGAATGTATTAAGGATTGGATACGAATCAAAGACCAAGTGCCGTGTTGTGTAACAATTCAAGCATACGAGTTTGCATATTATAAAGTTAAGGTTTGATAGAATAGTTCGCATGTTTTAATCTCTCTCTCAACAACCGATCGATTGCGTTACGCGTCGGGAATTAACCACAGGTGCCGCTATCGAGGTGAAACAACGCAATCGTGATGGTATCATGTTAACGCTGTGTTGAAATTCCAAAATCCCGAGATTGAGTTTTTCATATTATCCAAAAATTAAAGTTAGCTAGAAATAAAATTGATTAAAGCAGAAGGTTTGTGTGTGATTCTTCCTGAAATTCTGCATAATATTGTTCTGCGTATGAGATCTGAATCCTGGGGACCTATCATAAGCACACTATCACCACATAATCCATAACACACATAATCCGTAATGTTCAATCGAGAGTAATCGTATCCTTATCGATAATACGGAATTAAAGAGCAGAGTCGAATCGTCTCTCTCTCATTCACGCTCACAACGCCTGCGTCACTGCATACGATTAATTGCGTTATTCCAATTCATAACACAATCCTCGTCACCGAGGCTCGACCTGATAATCCATAACGACCTGCATTATCATAACCACGCCCACTCGCATAAATTAATACGATTATCTCTCGAATCAGCATAATTTATGCACATAATTACACTAATTAACATAATTTCGGATAAATTCTGCAAATCTCTAATTTCATTTAATTTTCATTATTTTCATCAATTTTCATAACACCTATATATACAACAACACCAACCCTTAATGCCAACCCTTAAACGCCAACCCTTAAACACCAACCTTTAAACACCAACCCTAAAACGCCAACCCTTTAAAACGCCAACCCTTAAACGCCAACCCTTAAACCCCAACCCTTAAACGTCAACGCTTAAACGGCAACTATTAAAGACCAATCCTTAAACACTAAACCCTTAAACACCAACCCTAAAACGCCAACCCATAAACAAACCCTTTAACGCCAACCCTTAAACGCCAACACTTAAACGCCAACCCTTAAACGCCAACCCTTAAACGCCAACCCTTAAACACCAACCCTTAATCGCTAACTCTTCAAATGCCAACCCTTAAACGCCAACCCTTAAACACCAATACTTAAACGCAAACCCTTAAACACCAACCTTTAAACACCGACCCTAAAATGCCAACCCTTAAACGCCAACCCTTAAACACCAACCCCTTAAAGGCCAAACTTACACGCCAAACCTTTAAACACCAACCTGAAAACACCAACTCTTAAGCACCAACACTTAAACGAAAACGCTTAAACGCCAACCATTAAACACCAACCATTAAACGCCAACCCTTAAACGTCAACCTTTAAACGCCAACCCTTAAACGCCAACCCTTAAACGCCAACCCTTAAACACTAACCGTTAAACGCCAACCCTTTAACGCCAACCCTTAAACGCCAACTTTTAAACACCAACCATTGAACGCCAACCGTTAAACGTCAACCTTTAAACGCCAACCCTTAAAACGCCAACCCTTAAACGCCAACCCTTAAACGCTAACCGTTAAACGCCAACCCTTTAACGCCAACCCTTAAACGCCAACCTTTAAACACCAACCC